CTTAAGACTCAGACGTCATTGATTGAGCGCTTGGTGATGTTGCATATCGTGCTCGTTCAAAGGTTTCAGAGTCTTGGCCGCGAGCCTTGCCTCCGGACTTCCGGACTCTTTCTTGCTTTGCCTCGGTTTGCGAACCAGGCTCTGTTTTCTTTGTTTTCTCTTCCCGAAGGGAGGGAGAGGTCTCGTAGATCATCTCTCAGTGGCCGTAGGCTACGTTTCATGGTCGTAGGCCATTTTGCCCGTTTGGAGTCCGGTTTCCAGTCTTTCGGAGCCGTTGGCCGTGTGCCTCGGTTCGGGACCGCTTAACCACATCCGTTTGCTTCGATTTTTGGCGTACATCTTATTTGTTCCCTTTTGAGGGACACTAGGGTCTAAGAAACCAACTTCGTGGTCGAACACCACTTTCGGTGCCTAACAGTCAGTTTTCGGGGCCTCGGGCTGTGCGTTTCGGCCCCCGAACCTTCATTTTGCATCGGTTTGGGTTCATTTTTGGCAGGGACCTCTGTTTCATTGTTAAGAAGGTTGTAGAAGGGTGGAAGGCTAGCAATTGTTCTGACAACCAGTTTTATTCCTCCGTCGCCCTCTGTCGCCCGTTTTTCTCACTTGAAAGCCAATGTTGACTACCCTAAGGCCACTTTTTCTTGCCCCAAACCACATATTTGTGTTGTATACACCTGGGAGGCCACCAATATCACATGGCCGGCCAGTAATTCTATGTGACCCTTTTGAACCCCTCCTAAAAGTGGCCTTTTCTCTCTCCTGGTTCACTTTCTCCAGTTTTTGACTACATGGTTGTGTTGTGCACACATGGGAGGCCCTCTTTCTGGGGTGGTCGGCCACTAATCATGATTGACACTTTTGACCCTTGGCCGGCCGGCCATGCGGAGAGCTGGCCGGCCACCTGCAACCTCAATAACCAGCCGGCCATGATCCTCTCTCCAGGTACATTACAAAAGTGTATTCTGTTTCCCCCCAGAATTTGTATCGGGGGGGGGGGGCTGCACTTTTGGGGGAAACTTGAATTCTTTCCCCCCCCATTTTCCCCCCTTTTTCTCCCCTCTTTTGCCTATATAACAGCAGCTCCAGCTCCTATCTGAGGGTTACAAAAAATTGGTTCAAGCCTCTTGCATTTATCCTCCATCTCCTTCTCTTCCAAGCACCAAAACCTCTCTAAGTCCTACAGCTTTTACTCTACACCTCATAGCACAAGGCCTCCATACTCCATACCAGCAGCTTGAAGCTGTTTTTCAGAGCCTAGGAGTACCCAAACTTGGTCCAAAAGGCTGTCAAAGATTGGTCTTCAAGGGTAAGTCTCTTTCTCCTCTTCTTGGCTCTATTTTTGCATACAATCTAAGCGATACTTTCTTGCATATTTGGGCTCCGACCCTAACTGAAAATAACATTATTTTGAGCGCTTTTTCATGTTTGTTTAAGGGCCTCTCCCTGTTTGAGGCTTTCTTTTAACACTTGCTTCTTTACCTCTCTTGTATGCCTCTTTCTTGCATAGTATTTTTGGCCTATTTATACACTGTTTTGAGCTTGGTTATAAACTATGAAGTGGCTTATTTTGAGCCTTTCTTCAACATTGTTGAAGGGATATTTCCTGTTTGAGGCTTTCTTTTGTTACTTGCCTCTTTATCCCTTTCTTGGCCTCATTTTTGCATGTTTTGTTAGCCCCTTGTGCTTGTATTTTTAGGCTCTGGTCTGAACTGTAAATAGCCTTATTTTGACCCCCTCTTCACGTTTTATCAAGGGTATTTTGCTGTTTGAGGCTCCCCTTTTACACTTTGTGTTTAAACCTCTTTTTAGGCCTTATTTTGCATAGTATTTTAGGCTTGCATGTGCACTGTTTTGGGTTTGGTTATTAACTGTAAAATACCATGTTTTGGGCCCCTCTTCAACTTTTTTGAAGGGCCCTCCTTTGTTTGAGGCCAGAAACCATCACTTGCTTCTTTGTCTCCCTTTTGGCCCATTTCTTGCACATTGTTTTAGGCCTGTTTTTGTTTAGATCTGTGGCTTGTTATAAACTGTAAAGTACTTCATTTTGAGCCCCTCTTCAACTTTGTTGAAGGGCTCTTGGCCATTTAGGACCAGAAGCTGCTACTTGCTTCATTACCTCTCTTACGGGGCCATTTTTGCATGCTAGCTTAGTCTTATTTGTGTTCATTGTTTGGCCTTGGTTAAAATTGTAAATATGCTTGTTTTGGGACTTCCTTGAATCTGTCTTCACACTTCATGTTCAAATAGCGCATGTTTTGTATAGCTATAGGCCAATGCATATGCCTAGTCTTGTATTTCGGGTTCATTCCATGCATCGGGTGCCATGTTTCCATGATTGGGGGCTGTTTTGTGTCATATTTTAGCGCTGAAATTTTCATGTTTGCATACCATGTTCCATGCCTTGCCATGCTTTGGTAGAGTGGCATTCGTGCCTTATGTTCGGTCCATGGTTTGCGTGCATGTGTGCACGCATTTTGAGTGTCTCATTTTTCATCTCATGGCCTCCTATGTGAGTGTGGCTGAGGTCCACTCGTGTTGGTGTAAGTCCATTATGCATTGTGTATGCCATTTCATTTCATAGCATTGTGTATGCTAGGTTGTATGTTAGCGCATTGTGTATGCCATGTTACCTCGTGCACCGTGTATGCCATTTCATAGCATCATGCATATTAGGTTGTATCTTAGTTGCATTCATGCATGTCATGCATATTGCATTGTGTTTGGGATTGGAGTTAGCCTGAGCACGGGAAACGAGGGACGTTTCGTACTTCGAGTGACGGAACGTGTCTCAATTCCCAATCACCGACACTCCGGACTATCCATGATGGAGTCTTGGTCTCGTTGTGTTTTCATGTGCATTCATTCCATATTGAGTTGTGCAATTCGACTCCTCGGCCATCATGCATTGAGATGCGTGATTGATGGCACGAGGATCGAGGCATATATACATATGTAAAAATACATTGCTATGCCCCTTTCCTGCTCTCTGTTGCAGCAAATCAGAAATCAGCAGCTTTCAAAAGCCTCGCACAGCATTCCGGTATCAATTGTAAACAGAGGCTAATTGGGGCATCGCAGTGGATTTCCATGCCAAGCAACCCGAACATGCATCATTCATCATCCGGAGCAGAGTTGAGGCAGTCCCTAGCCTGCATGTTTCATTTACTGCTTTCCTAGATTAATTTGTAATTAATTAGGATTCTGTACTTATTTGGGACTGTACTATTTATTTGGGACTGTATATTATTTATTCGGACCCTCCGAGCGAGGGCACAATTGTAATAAGTGTGCGTGTGTGTGATGTATGTCTTCCAACCCCACGTCTTTCTCCCTTTTATTTACCTGCTTATGATGGTTAGATTAGGGCATATTTCAATTAGCATACAGTATGATAGCATGTTTGCATTCATTCATCTGTTTCGCATGCACCGGGCTCGGCGCATTATACTAACTGCATTTGTATTTCAATTCCAAGTTGAATATTTGTTAGCTGCAGCATTCCATATGCCATGTTTAGAATAGCCGAGCCTGCTATAGTCGCATTTTTGCATGTGTTGCATTAGGCATTTCTGTATAATTAGGATCATGCATGGATTTCTAATTAGTTTCTGTTTTGGCTTGGAGTACTCGGTAAGTTTTATGCTTTAGCATCCTTGCATGCGTGTGAGTGACTGCCATGATAGCATGCTTACCATGAGGCTAATTGCTTATGTGATATAACTGCCTGAATGCCTGTGGGTGAAGGTTGGGTTATTTGAATTGGAACAATTCATCAAATGTGTGTTTTAAGCCCACTAGATAGTGGCAAAATCATGTTTTTCTAAGCCCACCTGAGGGTGGCAAATCCATGTCTTAGCCTACTTGCGAGTAGCACCATCAAACCATTTTCAAACAAACAAACATGAAATGTTTTGTTCCAATTCAGGCGATCCAGTCTATACTTGTATGCTGTGCGCATCACATAGTAAATCTAGGCTAATAACCGGAATAAGAACGCATAATGTTTTCAAAAATAGATATCATGGTTAGTAGAGGCCGATCTTTGATCGGGCGAGCGGGGGTGCTCACGAAGTGACCTTCCCCAATCGTACCCAAGTTCCCGAGCCGAGGCAACTTTGGTGATGACGGACACGTGGCCTTAGGCAAACGAGTCAGGGTTTCCTAAATTTCCCCAAAATAAAACATTTAGGTGGCGACTCTGTATCTGGTAAAGCAGTCCATGTTTGACACTTCTTTCAAAAATCTGTTTTCTCAAAACGATTTGCCAGATTTAGACTCTTTGGTTCAGACTTAGAACTGTGACAATTTGAGAGTCCGAACTGTAGTGAACCCCAAATGAACAGAATGGGACTCACCCTCCCGGGGCGTTCGGGGACGTCTACAGTGGGTAATGAACACATTTGCATTTGTAGCTCATCCGTGTCCTATTTAGTGAAATTCTTTTGTGCTTTGAATTATTTAAATTCGAGAAGAAATTTGAAATCGTGGATGATGAAATAGATTTGTGGTCTAAAGGCCACATTATTCTAACAATTGGACTGATAATCTTAATCCCAAATACAAAAGTTTGGGTAGAACGATGCCATTTAAATACTTAACTAGGAAATTACTACACATTAAACTTTCTTGATCTCTACAGTACTTTGATGGTCAATTGGACCACCTACTAGAGGTCGTGCACATTCAGTTCTATCAAGAACTTGGGCCATAAAGATCACTCCTAAAGAGAAAGTAATTCTCAGCAACTATAAGAACACCTCCAAAAGGGCCTAATTTCTGAATGGGTGAAGCCACCTTATATACTACTTGATGACAGCCTATACCAGTGCCTAACTTTTGTTTTGTACTATGCCTTGTTACTCATGTCTCTACCGTGTCAACTTTTCCCCTTCCTCTTGTACCTTACCAAGAAGGGGAAAAAAATCTAGAAAGAAGAGAGAATTGTTTTGTACTATGCCTTTTTACTCATGCCTTGTGTTTGTCTTTGTTTATATGTTTAGAAGAGAGAATTATTTCAAGATTTGGCTCCACTTTTGTCAAACTCTTTTGGTACTATCACTGCACTCTTGCAGGTATGCTTTATATTGTTCATAATAATATTTTGTAATCAATTTTTTGCCCCACAGTTGATGTTTGTTGCAGTGTTCTTCATGAATCACTAGCTAATCTGCTTGTCAAAGTACCTACCTTAATTTTCCTTTCCATTCTTAATTCATTTTACAAGAAAATGCTATTCGTCTTAGCTTTTCTTTTGTCTATCAGACATAGATTATGTTCCTTTATAGAGCACAGCAAACAAGGGGTATATGTTCCACTCTGTCTTGTGGCAGCAAATCGATGGTTCATGCTATCGCAGCATTGATTATATTGGTGACTTGTGCATTTATTGTTTATATATCTACTGCTGTGCACACGTTTTTGTGTTGATCGTACAAATTCTTAGTTCTACTTGTGTGTTACTTGATTATAAGATATGACTAAGAGATTGAAGTAGTATGTGAACTTGGTGGTGTTAATTTGGTGAAAATTAATGGTTTGATTCTTGTAAAAAAAATTATTTTTGGGGGCTAATTATGATGATTTGGTAAGTATTTATTGTTGCAAATTATGCTTATTTGGATATTTTAATTTAAAATTAGATGAATTATTGAGCTAACAGAATTAAGTTGAAACATGTCTAACTTGGATGCACTATATGCACTTTGTTATGTATTTTTTTTAGTTGTGGAAATTGTTAAATCATATTTGGTTTATAATCAATCATTGAATTTTAAAAGGAAAACAAAATCCTACAGAATAGGATGTTGTTTTGTTAGAGAATGCATTGAAGTAATGGAAACGAAACATTGACTTGACTTCAAACTGCTCTTTTCATAGATGACAACACACCACACAATGACAGGAGAATCCATGCCGATGCCCCCACAATATCTTGATCCTCTTGGTTTCTCTTTGTAGCAAATAGGCAAGTGGACACTCTATTTTGTCGAAAAAAATTTGCTTGGAAACAGTTACTTTTAACTGTGAAGATAATTTCTTTTAGCAATCCCTTCAAAGCTAATTAAAGAGACATAATAATTTTTTTCTTCAAGGTGCAAGGAAATTTACTTGTATAAATGACTGGAGTAGTGTTGTTAATTATGGCTTCATTTTTGTAGGCTTCTTCAGAGATTATGGAGTAGATGGTTCTTGCAAGGTTGAAAACTTATGGAGTTGGGTTGGTTTTGTCGCGTGTTAGGGTGATATTTCTTTGATAACCAGCATCTCTAATTTGTGCTTTTCGACTTTGCTTGGATTGCTTTTCAATAGAATGCTATTTACATACACATTGACTGTCTTAATCTTGTTTTGCTGATGGGAGGAAAGAAAAAGTGAGCTTTGTTGATATCATCCCTTGCTTCATATTATTGCATTTTAGACTCCATTGACAACCTGAGTTTGTGTAAAATATTTTTTGTGCCTAAAGAAGCTATTAAGCTTTCCCGCTAAGTTGTTTGCACTGCTCTCAAGAAGTTTTTGATTTTGTCTTTTGCAGCCTTATTTTGGTTTAATCTTGTTTATGATTAATTGTATGTTACTTTATTAAAACTAAAGTTCTTTTATTGCTATATATATATTTATGAATAGAATGGGATTTTTTATTTTTATTGTAAGATGCTATCTTTAGAAACACCTAACCCTTATGGGGGCATATAATCTGTTAGTACACTTCTCCATATCTAATTTCTTGCAGCTCACATCTCTCTTATCCCTTTTACAATCTTGTTGACATCAATTAAGAACATATCTATTTAGCTATATAGAGAAAAGATAACAAGATCACGAAACATGATGTGCACAACATCAAACTAGTTAGATCTTTTCTTCAAGAAATGTGTCTGTTTTTATAGAATGAATGTCTTTGGAGAGATTTGAAAGGGCAGGTACAATCTCAACCAAATTCATAGACACACATATCTCACATCCTCTGTCTTGCTGTCCCGAAATATTCATAGCAATTAGATCATGTCTCCAGGTTATCAAATGATCAAACGGTTGGGATTGTTTTGAGGCAGAACAACAAAGGGGTTCTTCGTCTATAAAAGGAGGGATTTGATATGTGTGAAAAGGACTACAATTCAAGCAATGATGTATTTGTCTATCAATATGTAGGAAACAATAGAAAGAACCACATGGAGAAGATACATCAACTTGTGGTTGTGCACTAGGTCAAACTTGTTGGATCCTTCTTCAACAATGGTCTCCAATTTAGGAACATTGGATAAAGGTTTTTGGGGAGAGATAAGAGGAGATAGAAACTCAGGAATGATTGTGTATTTAATAATGGGCAGCCTTCTTGTGTTGAGTTGGGTGAAGTAGTGAAGGTTAGGGTGGCTTTATGGGCTAACTCATTTTTGGGTGAAGTAGTGAAGGTTAGGGTGGCTGTGTGATCTCATTAAAGTGAGATTGGCTATTTGGTATCCTTGTGTATGATGCAGAGCAGCCACAGCAGCCAGTCGCAGCCAAGGCCACAGCAGTCAAGGCAGTGAAAACTAGCCAGCTGCAACCAAGGCCATAGTGATAAAGCAGAGCAGCCACAGCAGCCAGTTGTAGCCAAGGCCACAGCAGCAAGCTGCAGTCGAGGCCGCAGTCCAGCAACCAAGGCCACACTTCAGCAGCTAGTAGGCACAGCCAAGGCTGCAGCTCAGAACAGATAGAGTTGCTAATGCTATAGTAGCTGCAGCCCTCTCTCATCAGCTAAAGTCTCTCTCATTTCAAGCACGTGTGAATTGCAAAGCAAGTTGCAAATTAGCCGTTAGTTTGTTAAAGGTTAACTATATGGTTTAGTTAGACAGTTATGGTTATGGTTCATTGTTTTTTCCCCCAACAATTTCAGCTTCTTCTTTTTTCTGTTGACAAATTTGCAATTGGGGTTCTTCTCTCTCTTTGCCCTATAAATTGCAATTTATATATCATGTCATATTATATATATATATATATTCTGGATATTGAACGGTTACTTTATATCTTTCGTGGCAGCAAAACCATTTGAGAGCAAATTTATCATATTGCGAGAAGTCCATGATTTAGATGGCTGGACTAAGTATGCTTCACAGGTTTAGTAATGGCAATTATGGTGGCTTTTTACCTTGGTCCTTTGGGCTTGAGGAAAGGCCTGAGTTTTGCGTGAGATTTAGGTATTCAGGTGTTTATGGTTTAGGTTAGAACAAATGCTCTAGGTGTATCTTGGATCTTGAAAATGAATCCTCAGGAATTTGGTGAAATAGAGCATTGCTCAATATATGTACTCTGCCTAATTATAAGGTTGTTTAATTATCATATAATCTCATATGATTGGATGATTCAGCCAAAGTCATAGGCTATTTGTAAATGTTGCCCTAAAATGTTTCACAAAATAAAACACAATGGGTCATTGTTGCCTTGAGCTACATTTAGGAGGATATTAAGGAGTTCAAGATAATGAAATTTTACTAATTGGAACGAGTCTTTTATTCCTGCATCTCAGATTAGCTGGAATTATTAATTATGATTGCATATATCTCCATACTCAAATATTTCATATATTTACATCTTCTCAATTGTTGTTATTATTCCTTTGATAGGTTGAAATTCCCCAATGATGATTGCACGTTCTTGCATTTGCATATACATTTGTCTCCTATATTATTGTCATACCCGTGATAGGTTCATTGATTTTCTACAAGTGAGGATAATACATCCCTTTCTGGAGTGGTGGAGCCACTAATACTGCTACATAATTGTGGCAGTTGATTTTTGGAAACACTAGGAGGATGTGGCTTGTAGATTATAAATGGTATGGATGAAGCTACTATGTTATTTATGAATATTGTTTAGTTTTTTCAAGTGACATACTTTTTAAGATTGAATTATTAAAGAAAAGGCATATAATATTAGGAAGTAGGCTATAAGGTTTAAGAGTCGATGGAATTAGCAATAGCTTGTGATTGAATTAGATACTAGTAAAAATTAGAGAAGAAAAAAAAGATTAGCTTAGGGATTATTCCTATAGTTTCTTATTTTATGTATTTGCTACTAAGTACTTAGATAGAATTATATCACATTAACCCAAAAAGCGTCTAAAGCTACTAAAACTTACCTAAATTTCTTCTATAATGGATTGAAAGTTTCTTTTTAAACTTGTAAATAATATAGACTCTAATTTGACTTGGACTCTTTATTTTGAAACTTACAATGGTAAGGGATAAAACTTATACAAACCTGAACCTCATACATAGAGATCTTTTAACATAATTATGCAAGTCCCAAGTAGGTGCTTCATTGAAGTAGATTAATTCCACCTCTTTCTCTTTTTAAATTTAATTTTTCTCTTGAGCTTCTTGTCACGACCCAAACCTGCCCCTATGGGTTTAGCATCGTAACCGGCCAGTAATCCATGATTACCGAAGGCCTGCTTAATAGTAATGACAGTAATACAGAGTACAGGGGCTGGCGGAAGCCAAAACAGTAAATAAAGATATCCAATGAGCTGTGACAATCTGAATGCAAAAAGACTTTTCTGAACATATTCACATTGATGGGTAAAACATATACATGTGCATCATATACATAAACATCCAGGCTAGGGACCTAATCCCCCCGCATAATTGTACCGTACAAGCCTCGATCAGTATTACGAAACAGAGACAGAAGGGTGAACTGAGACACCCCAAAAAGCCTAAGCTTGAACACACTGGGAACCTCGAAGTGAGGCATGATGGCTGGCTCGACAAAAAGGGAGTTTAACCCAACGCTCCTAGCTCCGATTCGGTGCCTGGACACCTACATATAAATATAAACAGCTAAAGCCCAGTGAATAACATATGCGTAAAGAGGTTAAGAATGAATGTCCTTTCAGTATTTAAAACAGTCATTTATATCAGTAAAACAGTCATTCAATCAGTGGCTCATATTTCATGCCATATCAGTCATTTAGAAACCATAATGGTCATATGTGGTACATCCAATAGCAAAACAGTACAGTAGGTCTTAACAGACCGAACAGTCGGTTGATGGCCATCATATCAGTAAACAGTAGTGGTTCCAAACATGGAAACCGAAAGAGATCTCTGTAACAGTAATAATAACAGTACAGTAACAGTAATTTGCTAAGGATGCCACAAATACAATTCACGATAGGACAATCATTCATTCAGTGAGAAATATCATTTCAGAAAACAGTACAGTCAATCGTTCGGAAATAATCATATGTGAACGTATCTTTACAACATTGTTACTCACAGAGTACTGAGCTACCGATAGGCTAGAGAGCGTCCTCGGATGCTAACCGTACACAGTTACAGAATGAACACACACTACGTTACACACTTGGGAATCAACAACTTAGTCCCTATCTTGGCTCAGTGTGGTTCTATATCAATATCCTCATTAAGATACCTTAAACTAGGCCTAGGAATGCCTAGGATGAAATGAGGATGCAACAATACACTTTAAAACACTTTTCAAATTTTTTGCTGAAACAAGGGTCTCGCTCAAACGTGGCTTTATACGCTCGAGCGGACATGCAGACAAAGGATCTCCGCTCAAGTATGACTTCCTTCGCTCGAGCGGACTGTAAATTTCATGAAATGTACTGGATGCATGCAATTCACGCTCGACGGACGCTCGACCTCTGCTCGAGCATAAGACTCAGGTCCTCGCTCGAATGTGAACTCTCTCGCTCAAGCGGACTGTAAAACATATGAACTTCTAGGCATATGCATTTCACGCTCGAGCTCGCCTTTCCTCGCTCGAGCGGAAGTGCATGTACTCAGAGTGTATGCTCGAGCGTGGGTCCAAAATCTGGAATTTTCAGATTGAACCTCAAGCACAAAATTCAACTTTTGAAGCATCAAATTCGATCCTTTTGGGCCAATTTTCTGGAAAAACACTTTAAACCCATAATATTACATGTTTCAAAGATCAATTTGCAAAATCAAAGCCCAAAGGCAAGTCAATTAAACACAAATTTCAAATAGACTTCAAGAACAAGATGCACATTTAATATACATGTAATCAATTGAATTCAAAGCTTCTAGCACGTGATCAAATGAGTCAATCCCTCCAAAAACATGATGAATTCATGAACTACAACTAGAAAATGGACATGCATGTGGAAATTCATGCAAAACAAGTTCAAATTTCAAGAACATGTACATGCATGCATGGATTAAGCCTCAATTCAATACTTAAAACCAATATTTGACTATAACCTCCATTAATCCCATGAACCATGTAAGAATAACTCAAATGTACAAATGCGAGGATGAAATCTCTACCTTAGGTCTTGAATTCCAAGTAAGGAAGCTCAATTATGCAATTTTTCTTCAATTCTTCTAGTTCTCCAAGCCAAATCTAGGTGAATCAAGCTCTTTCTCTTACTCTCCTCTCTCATACGGTTTGTCTAAGGGAATGGCTAAAGGAATGATGCCTCAAATACATAAATTAAGTCCCAAACAAGTTTTGTAGGAAATGGCCACTCAATGGCAAATTCGTAATAACTCACTCCAAAGTAATTTAACATTATTTAATCTAATCTAATCGTCCCAAATCGAACTTAAATTAAATATACCATAAAATCACATAAATTCTAATTAGCATGAAATACTAATCAATTTCTGATTCGGTCGCCGATAGGACCTTCAATTCGAATTCAAAGCTAAAACATGAACAAATCATTTAATGACCAACAGATAGAAATGCACTTAAAACAATATACTCATGCAATCAATTCAGAATTTTAGTCAAATCAGTTACTTATCATTCTCAGTCACATTTAGCATTAATCAGGGGTGAGGGTTGTCATAGTCTTCCCCCCTTAAAAGAGTTTGGCCCACCAAACTCGGATTACCTTCATTTTGGAAGAACACTGAATCCAGGGGGAACAGTTCAGGATATCTCTTCAATATATCATCTTCTCTTTCCCAAGTGGCATAAATGCCACTGTGGTTTTGCCAATCCACTTTCGCTAACGGAATTTCTTTGTTTCTCAACTTCTTGATTCGTCGGTTTACAACCTGAATAGGTCGTTCTTCATAAGTGTAGTCATCACTTAGCACTATACGGGTAGGCTCAATCACATAGAAGGGATCCCGAAGATAATTCCTCAACATTGAAATATGGAAGACATTATGCATGTGCTCCATTTCAGGAGGAAGCGCTACTTGATACGCCACCGGATTAATCTTTTCAATGATTTCATACGGCCCAACATATCTTGGTGCTAGCTTACCCTTGACCGCAAAATGGGTCTGGCCTTTCATCGATGTCACTTTAACAAAAACATGATCACCTACTTCATATTTCCTGTCGCGCCTTCAGACATCCGCATAACTTTTCTGTCGGCTTTGTGCGGTTTTCAATCTCTGTTGAATCAGTTTCACCTTTTCGATGGTTTCTTGCACAATCTCGGGCCCAAGCAAAGGCCCACCTCCAACTTCTACCCAGCAGATAGGAGATTCGCATTTTCTGCCATACGAAGCCTCGAAAGGCGCCATACCAATGCTTGAATGAAAACTGTTGTTGTAGGCGAATTCGGCTAAAGGTAGATGACTTTCCCAATTTCCTTGGAAATCAAGGACACACATTCGCAGTAAATCCTCCAGAGTCTGGATGGTTCTTTCTGACTGGCCATCTGTCTGAGGATGGCATGCACTACTTAGTCTTAGTTCAGTACCCAATGTTGTTTGTAGACTTTGCCAAAATCTTGATGTAAACTTCGAGTCCCTATCAGAAACAATGGACACAGGCACCCCATGCAATCTGACAATCTCATCAATATAAATTATGGCTAATTTGTCCGCATTGTAAATTGTTTTGACAGGTAAGAAGTGAGCAGATTTAGTCAATCTATCAACAATAACCTAAATTGAGTCCATACCTTTACTGGAGCGAGGTAAACCGACAATGAAATCTATAGTGATATGTTCCCATTTCCACTCTGGTATTGGTAAGGTTTGCAATAAGCCTGCGGGTCGTTGATGTTCAGCTTTAACTTGCTGGCAATGAAAACATTTCGATACAAAGTCAGCAATTTCTTTCTTCATTCCCGGCCACCAGAAATTCAGTTTCAAGTCTTGGTACATTTTCGTATTTCCTGGATGAATAGACGGTTTCGAATTGTGGCCCTCTTGCAGAATTTGTCTTTTCAGTTCAGAATCATTCGGTACACACAACCTTCCCTGAAATTTCAACACATTGTTCTCAAATTTGAAATCCGACCTCGATTTGGATTCCCGTTCATCAATGACCTTTTTCAAAAAGTCATCCAATTGCTATTTCTCTTTAATCTCCTCAATAAGTGTCGGTTGAGTAGAAATAGCAGCCAATATCCCACCTTGTTCACGCAAAACAATTTCAACTTCAAATTTTTTAAGGTCACATAGCAGTTCTTTCTGTCCGGTGAGTAAACAGGCT